ACCAAAGCGTGGAAAAAGCGGCGGGTAAGCAAGGGTTAAGAAGACCCGGCTTCTGAGGCGGAAGTTTTTTCCGCCCATCCATCCCAAGCCCCTCCCGCTCCCCAGGACGCGCCCCGCCCCCTCGCCTGCCATTGGCAGGAGCGCCGGGCGGGCGCGTTTAAAAGGGACTACATTTCCCGGCGGGCGTGCGAGAGCGTCTGGTGTGCCGGCGGAGAGAGAGAGGGAGAGAGGCAGAGAGGGAGCGAGGGAGGGCGGGGCTGTGCGCGTGCGGTGGGCGGGGCTACGGCGTCCCCGAGGCGACGCGGGGGGGCGGCGCTGCTGGCGGCTTCCTCCGAGGGGGCGGGGCCGGGCGCGCGGCGAGCAACGGACGGCCAGGAGGCGGAAGGCGCCGCGGGGCCCGCGCTCCCTCCGGCCGCTCCGACAGCCATGGGCGAGCGCGGCAACGGCGGCGTCCAGCAGCCCAGGAGGCGCACGGGGGTCGCGGGCGGAGGCGGCTCTCGGCAGACCCGCGGCGCAGAGGGAGAGGCCAGCCCGGCCCAGCGCGGCGCTGGGGATGGCGCGGACCCTTCCTCCTCCTCCGACGCCGACTTCAGGTAGGGAGCCCTCCCCCGCCCCCCTGGAGAGAGACCCCCGCCCTCCCTTGCTGAGGGGGGGTGTCCTCCCAGCTGTTTCCCCCGGGGGCGCCTGGCAAAGAGGGAGGGGGACCCCAATGCCCAGAATTCCCTCTTCCAGCTGTTAGGCTGCTCCAAACGGCCCCCTCCCCAAACTGCATGCGAGTCTATGCCTGCCCCCTCCCCTCCCCGGGTGCTGGGCTTGACCTTTTGCCCTTTGGGGTCAAGGCGGGGCAGGGTGAGGGTCCTTTCCCTTCGCCCCCTCCCCTAGTGTGGGGCTGTGCTGCCCCACTTGCTCTCCCCCCCCCCTTGGTTTCAAGGGGAGGGGGCTTAAGGTGTGGCTTTTCATGGGGCGGACACTGCATTTAGGGCTTCTGCATGGAGGGGGTCTTAAACTGTTCCAACTGTTTTTGGGTGGGTGGGTGGGGGGCAAAAGTAGCCAGGGAGGTGAGCGTTTAGACCTCCAAGGTGGGTTTTCCTGGGCTTTGGGTTGGAGAGTTTTGAAGAAAAAATTGGGCTAACCTGTCTCAAATGGGCTATACAGGCTCTCCTGCTTGAGCAGGGGGTTGGACTAGAAGACCTCCAGGGTCCCTTCCAGCTCTATTCTGATCAAGAGTCAGGCTGTATTTTGGGTGTGTGTGTGTGTTCCTTCTTCCTGCCTTGCTCTCAAACCCAAAATTCTGCTCTGGGGGAGAAGCTTCCAAGTTGTAAAAGGGAAATAGAGAAAGGGGAAAAAAAACCCCTTGGCGTTTTGCTGTTTGTGCCGCTAGAAACCGAGTTCCTCCTCTTTGGTGAGATCCTGATTTGCCTGCGGTCGTTTACGCGGAGCTCAAACCGCTCGCCCCGACCTCTCTTGCAACACAACCGTGCAGCCTTCCATGAAAGCTGGGTGTCACAAGGGCTTGACGGGAAGCTGACATGAGGCATGCGGTCTTTGCACCAGAAGTGGGAAGGACCTTTGGACTTCCTTGCAAGAGGCGCACACACCCTCTCCCTGACCCCACTTTTACTCACTCTTCAGGTCCAGGGCATAGCAAGCGGCACGCCCTCGGAGAAATCCGACTCTGCCCGGGCTGTGTCATCAGTTTAGCAGGACAAAGGTGATCTGCCTTTCAACAGCAGCAGCTCCACGGCTCCTCCTGACTCGGTTTGGGGGGGGGAGGGGAGGGAGGGCAGCTTTCTCCCGCTGCCTCCCGGGCCTGGGTCTCCTACCCTGCCTTGCCAAGGGTCCTATCAATCTCTCTGGAGCTGCCCCAAAGGAGAGGCAGGGCTCACGCTCTTCTCCAAAGCACCCACAGGCAGGACGGGAAGCAACAGACGGACATCCCAAAGGGGCCTTTTCTCCCAAGAGGCCCCTGGACTTTCTGGTTTTTCTTTGAAGTTGTTTTGCTTCCCATCCAAGGAGCTTCTTCAGCTCTGAGTGGATGGTGAGGAAGGGAAGGGTTGACACTCCTTGAAAGGACCAGGTGTCTGCAAGGAGTATCAGTCCTTCTCTTCCCCACCAACCACGCCAGAGCTGAAGAAGCTCCTGGAATGAGAAGTGAAACCTCTTTCAAAGAAAAACCAGAAGATCCAGTTGGCTCCTGAAAAGACTTTTGGGCCCCCCCTGGCCTGGGTGACTGAGGATCCCCATTCAACACATGGCAACTAAATTTCCTGACCCAGGAGAGCAGTGGAAGGGGTTAATTCCGGAGGTTGCGTATGCCTCCAACGCTGGAGGGTTTTAAGAAGAGATCGGACAGCCACCTGTCTGAAATGGTTTGGGTTTCCTGCCTGAGCAGGGGGTTGGACTAGAACAGTGTTTCTCAACCTTGGCGACTTTAAGTCCTGTGGACTTCAACTCCCAGAATCCCCCAACCAGCATAGCTGGCTGGGGGAATTCTGGGAGTTGAAGTCCACAGGACTGAAAGTCGCCAAGGTTGAGAAACACTGGACTAGAAGACCTCCAAGGTCCCTTCCAACTCGGTTATTCTGTGCTCTGAACTTCTGCAGAGTTCAGGATCCTTGTTTTGGCTGAGCCGAGGGTTGGTGGGGCATTGGGGTGAATAATGGCAAACATTAATTCAGGGCAGCTAGTGGCAGGGATGGTGCTCTTCTGGATGGGCGTATCGTGCTTGTCCTGTTCCTTCCTCCGTGCAGAAACTGGCTCCCTGGGCGAGCGTTTCTCTGGGCGAGGCGTTTGTTTTGAGAGAGCGGAGTCTCCCACTTGGGGAGGTGCCCAGGCGGCTGCCACTGAACCGCAACCTTCACGCCCTGGCTGGCATAACACAAGTTGGCATAACATAGCTGATCCATTACCGGTGCCAGGAACAAATTGCACATTTCTGTAGGCTTTCCATTTGGCAAGAGGCGGTCTGGGTATCTCCCAGGAGAGGATCCCTGAGGATGGGCTCCAGCCCCAGCCCCAAAGCTTCGGAAGGAGAAAACTCTGGATTGGATCCTGCAAGATTATCCTGGCACCCCGCCCATTTGCCATCTATTTATTATTGTGCCAGACTCAGACTCAGCCACGTGTCCCCTGGGTGTTCTTGTCCCCTGCCCTGGGGGAGACCCTGGGAGGGTCTCCTGTGCTTGAACAGCCCTGGAAAGCCCACACGGGGGAGGCTCAGCTGGGCTTTGACCTGTTGGGCTGGGCTTGGGCAGGGGGGCAGAGTTTTGCAGCTCCCATTGCTGCTCCCACCCCTCTCTGTGTGCTGGGGCTGGAGGGGGCCTGTAATAGGAGCCCCCCCCCGCCCCCAAGTTTTCCTCCTGGCAGGGAAGGGGGGAGAAGCATGGGGGGGGCTCCCTCTTCAAAGGAACCCTGATCTGCAGTTTTTTCCCTTCTTGGGAAGCGGGGGGGGGAGGGGGGGGGAGGCAGGGCTCCTTGCTCCCCTGGTAAACAGGCTCCCTCCTTCCACAGAGGGTTTGGGGCTTTAGCCCCAGAGCAAATTCTTCAGGCAGCAGAGGAGGCTCACAGGAGACGGAGAGAAACACACGGCTCCAAAGTGACCCCAGGGCCTCCACTGGCTTCCCTGCTTAATGGTCCCTTAAGAAGGCTGTTTGGCTGGGTGGTTCTTCACCCTAGTGGGGGATGGGGGGCTAAGTGAGCAGGCAAATAGTGGTGGGAGCAGAGGCTTCTGGGGGGGGGGGGACACGCAGGGCCTTTTCCCTGCCGCCCTCTTCCCAGCTGCCTCCAAGGGGAGGCCCTTGAATCACGCAGGAGGGTAGTCAAGTCTGAGCCAGGCTCAATTGGGCCTTGAGTCAGGCTCCCGTCTCTCACCCAGGGGTCTAGGCGATGGGGCAAGCTCTCACGTGCCCTGGCAAGGCTTCTCCCCAGGGCTGGACGGAGGTGGGGCGCCTCTGGGGCCAGAGGTTGGGCACCGAGAGGCACGGGAAGCCTTTGGAGCTGAGCAGGAACCGGTTTGGCTCCTCCTCCTCCTCACCAGGAATTGATGCACGAAGGAGCAGTTCTGCACCAATGGCCGCTTTCCAAAGTCTTGGCCCGACGGAGGCTCCTGCGTGGCCCAGGTGGGCTTCGGTTTTTGCTAAAGCCCACCTTGAAATGCCAGCTGTGAACAGCACCAGGGACATTGTGGCCCCCACAGGAGCTGAAAGAGTTGGGGGCCACGGGGTGTGCGGGTGTTGGAGGTGTTCCTGCTTTGTGGGGGGGGGGGTCCGCACTCGTTGCCCCCAAAGGGAGGAGAGGCCCCGAGTTCCAAAGGCAGCTGGGCCCCTTGGCTTTTCCTCTCGAAGAGCCAAGGTGGCGCAGTGGTTAAATGCAGCACTGCAGGCTACTGCTAGATCAGCAGGTCAGCGGTTCAAAT